TTAGTCTTTTGTGCTTTTACTTTTAAGTAAACATTTTTTTTCAGTGCTTTAAACAATTTATTTAACTGAAATGGACCTCCATTTGTTTAACTGAAAGGACTTCCATTTATTGTGATACATCTTTTCTCCATGGTGATTTACAGGATCTTCAAGCCAGTATAACTATTTCACAAATATTTGGGCATCTGGGTATCCACCTTTACAAGACCTCAGCAGCATCTTTCAGCAATAAGAACACTAAAGCGCAAAGACTAAACACAACTACCGGGTATGATTAAAACCTGCTCTGAATATTTCTGAGGTAAAAAGGCAACACATGCCTGTTCAACTAAGAAAGTCATCCTTAGAACACAGAAAGATTTTTTACTTTTACATGGGACCTAGAACACTTGGCTTGAGGTGCTTAACAGCAGAGCTCCATCCCCAGCTTATGCCATGAGCTCACAGGGAAGAGGTTCCAACAACTCAGGCTCCCTCTCATCGGTTCTCCCAAAGTGCGCTTCTCTGGGCGGGGCAGGCTGGCACTTCAGCTGAACCCAGGTACCTTTTTCTTTGGCATCCATCTCTTTCTGATCATTTTCCTCGATGCGCTTCAGTACTCTTTGAGTGTTTAATGTGCTCACTATGCACATTAATCCTCTTGGCAAGTATCTTGCCCTTAACTTGCTTGTTTACAACAATGCCAACAGCATGCTGGGTAACACTGTCGACTCTTCCTGTTTTGCTGTGGTAATACTTGTGAGGCATTCCTTTTAGCACAGTATCCTTCCCTTGACATCTACAGCATCACCTTTTCTGTAGATCCACCATGTGGGCAGCCAAAGGAACAACTCATGTTTTCTGAAAAGCCTAGAGAACATACACCGGGTTCCACTCCTCTTGCCCTTTGTGTTGGTCATTTTGGCAAATTACTGGAAGATGGCAGTTCCAGCTGAAAGTTAAATAAACTTTTTAATCACTTTGTCTGGTTAAAAACAAAATGTCCTGCCTGGCAAGCAGAAGGTCCTGAGTTTGATCCGTGGTATCACACACACACACACATACACACACACACACACGCACGCACGCACGCACACACACACACACACACACACAAATCTGTGTGTTTGCAAAATAAGAAGTTTAATTGAATGTTATCTTTCTGTAATAAAAGTTTCTACCTACAGTTCTCCTCTTCGCACTGAGTGGATAAGGGTAACCGTATAGGTCAGCGTTTTGTTTCTGGGGAAATCCTGACACGCAGGATTTAAGGAGAGTATGTCCACCGTGGCTCATGGTTCCAAGGCTTCAGTCCATGGTTAGCTAGCTCCAACGCAGAGGCAGCTGGGTAATAGAAAGCTGCATACCTCACAGTGTCCAGGAAGGAGGAAGAGAAGGGAAAGGGCCAGAAAAAGAGAACAGAAGGGCTGGGACAATGATGTGCCCTTCCAGGTTGTGCTCCAGTGAGCTGCTTCCCCTGCCCGGGCTCTCCTGCTGACGGCACATTTAGCTGTGAAGACACCAATGGATTAATCCACCGATAACGTTAGCACCCCATCCCCCCTCCCCCATAAAATTGTGAGCCTCTTGGGAACATTTTTGCTCTAACCCCTAACAGTGGCCGGCGAGGCGGGCATGTGCAGTTGTGCACATGTGTCCTGCACCATCCTAGTACAGAAACGGCGCAGAGGTGCCGGCGCCAGGTACCAGGGTATGGTCTCTCCGGAGCAATCTGCCCGTCTGCATTTCTGAACAATAGTAACCAGGCTGTGCTCCACATACTTTATGAATCCGTGCGATCCTCTAGCAATGATATCCCCGCCTCACACCTAAGGAAAATGGGGTGCAGAGGTTAGGGAAGTGCCCTGAGGTCCATAGTGTGTACCATCCTGTACATTCGCAACCCTGACATGCGCAAACACGGATGCACACAGGGACATGCAGTGACAGCCACGGATACACACAGGGACACATAGACAACAGCAAATGCCCACACAAGCACTGTTGCCCCCACTGTCATCCATTCGCCCTCCCACATCACGCAGCCCAATCCCCCTATGTAATCTTGGTATCCAGAGGGCAGAGGGCATCACAGGAAGGGGTGATCTCCCCTCTGGGGGACTGAGGAAGGGATCCTGGTCTCTTTTGTGCTGTCTTGGAGTGGGGGGGGTGAGGGAGAGATGGGGATGGCTGAGAGCACCCAGCAGGGGTCCTGGTACCCAGCAGGTCTCCCTCCGCTCTCCTTCCCTTCAGCCACTATCTCCAGCAGCCTCAAGAATTGCCCATCTAAGCATAAGTCATTCTTCCAGGCTGCCCACGCTCAGGCCAGGGGATGAAGCAGCCGGGAAATGCAGACCTGGGAGCAAACTGCCTGCGAGCAGGCTCACAGAGGCGAGGGTGTCCAGGCACAGTGTGTGTGTGTGTGTGTGCCTACACACCCAGGCATACACACACACACACACCCCTGACAGTTGTGGCTCTCTGAGTCAGCCTTACATGGAAGGAAGGGATTTAATCACTCGGGGGCTGGGCATGTTATTGTTTTAAAACAAACGAGGGATGACAGCCATGAACAGAGGGTTTTTAAGAACGCAATTCAAAGGGCTCTTGAAAGCTGCTGGAGAAAATGAATGCGCCTTTGAAGTGAGAATGTGCCCATTTGTTACGCTGGGAGCAGTGCTGGCTGCCTGGAGGGCGGCGAGGCAAGGCGGTTGCTTTCCTTGGCAGACAGGTGCCTGCAGCCTCAAGCGCCAGGTCACAGGGGCACCAGGACCTGAAGGCACAGGCCCAGGGACGCTGGCCACTCCTCTGAACCCACAGTCTGTTCGAGCTCCTTTCTGACCATTTTGCAGGCCGATCTGTGCATGCGGCAGCTGTTAAGAGCAGAAGAGAACTGTGTGTGAGGAAGAGGAAGCAGTGGGGAACGTGCAGCTCAAGGAACACCAGTTGGACGGGGTGCTGCAGGGGGTGTGGGGGCAGGCAAGGGGGCCTCGCCCACTCTGAGCCATCCTCAGGCCTGGGTTGGTCACCGTGTGGGAATTTAAGGAGGAGCACCCCAGAGTGTCACAAGTTATGCACTCATAGGATGGAGCCTTGGGGTCCACAATTTGGGGTGCTCCGGCCCAGGGCCAGTTGGCTGGGCCCAAAAGCACACCCAGTTGAGACCTGAACTTTATCTCACAGATGCTGCTGCCTGTTAGGGCCAAGGCTGAGAGGAAGGCAGGGTGCAGGGTGCCTGAGCTCAGCCTCGGCAGGACAGCGTGCTTCAGCCACCCCAAGTCACCCCTGCTGCCGCACGCCCCTTCCTCCTGTTCCTCTGGTTCATTCTCTTAGTCCAAAAGAAGAATGCCAGGTGGGCTCGCCGGGCACCCACCAGCAGGAAAGGTGATGCAGGGGTGATGCACCCTCCCGGCCACGGGGCCCACATCTTAGACTCCGGGACAACATGACTGTTTGCAGAACGTGCGTGCCGAGGCAGGCCCGAGACCCGCACCTCAGCCTCCATCGCAGGCAGTCCGTACTGCAGCTACGGCTCCCGTGTGTCCACTGATGGAGAGACTGAGACTCAGTAGAGAAAATGCTTCCCACCGCCACCCGTGCACACACGTGCACATACCTGGGAGGCAGCGGAGTGAACAGATGGGTGACGAGCACGAGCCTGGAGATTAGGACCCCAGGGCCCACGGCATCCCTCGTGGATCTGAGAGTGGGGATCCAGGATGCCTGGACCACATCCCCAGTCCACCACTTAGCCACCATGTGGCAGGTCCGCAGTACACACTGAGGGATCCCTGGGTGAGCTGTTGAGGGGTGCACTGTGGACCACACTCCCTGAAGCCATCAGGTGCAAGGTACAGGGCTTTGTCCTCATTCTCCCTCCCCGCTCATCCCACTGAGGGGCCAGTCAAGAGTTTAGGGCTTTTCTCCTTTCTCCAGGTGCATAACCTTGGGCAGGATTCATTCTCTCTCTCTCTCTCTCTCTCTCTCTCTCTCTCTCTCTCTCTCGCTCTCTCTCTCTCTCTCCACACACACACACACACACACGTGCGCTAGCACACACATGTGCACAGGCTTCACTGTGCCCTCTACAATATGGATCATCATCCTTGGAGGCCGGGGTTGCCATGGGGATTAAAGGGGCATAGGGCAGAGCCCCTAGATCAACCAGAACTGGCCGGTGCTGTCGTCTTTGTTGACGTCATCACCTGACGCTGGCTCCCCATCCAGCCGGGTCCCACCTGGGGAAGGCAGTGTCTCAGGGTACAGCACAGAGCTCTTCTCCTCCTTCCTCCACCTCCTCATCCTTCCTTTGTCTCCCACGTCTACTTCCACTTCCGCCTTGTCTCCTCCTAGCCAGAGGGGCAGAGGCTCCCCTTCCACCCGAAGCTGCTAGCCAGAGTGGTCCCTTGAAGTCCAGGACCAGAGTGTGCTGTCCATGTGGAGGGGCCATGGGGCTCATGACCTGCAGGCCTGAACCAGGTTGGAGGGTTCAGAGGACCCTGCGGAGAGACGCAGCTGCCTCTTGACACCATGCCCCCAGCCCAAGCGGCAGCACTTCCTCTCCCAGGAAGCTGGCCTGGTATGGATAGGATAGGGAGGCTAAGGCAGGCTGGCTGGGGCCTCAGATGGCAGAAGCAAGTGGCCTGGTGGTGCAAAGATCCACTGAGCAAACTCTGCCCTTGGTGCCTCCAAGGACTTCCCTAGCCCTGGTGAGCAGCATAGGGACCTGCTGTCACCTGCAGCTGTGTGAACCCACTGCTTTGTTCTCTGAGTGACATAGTAGGGGGCAGCAAAGGCAGCAAGCTTGGTGTATCTGCAGTAGAGGAAGGCAGGGGGCTAGGAGGTAGATAAGGACCCTAGTGAAGACTGACTGTACTGACCCAAGGTCAAGTCCTTCCCGCCACAAGGCCTCGAGCAGGCTACCTGGCTGCACCTGCTCCGCCTGTCTGGGGTGCTAAATGAGCTGAGCCCTGTAGCTAAGCGGGCACTGACCCATGGTGCTGTGTCCTTGTTTCCTGCAGATGATGTGTCCCCATATTTCAAGACGGAGCCTGTGCGGACACAGGTGCACCTGGAAGGGAACCGTCTGGTGCTCACGTGCATGGCCGAGGGCAGCTGGCCGCTGGAATTCAAGTGGCTCCACAACAACCGGGAGCTGACCAAGTTCTCCCTGGAGTACAGGCGAGTTACAACACCTCACTGTCCTGGGGGCACATCAGGTTGTGGGCTTGGGTGGTCCCTGGTTTGCCGTCCAATGCTCCTGGGAAGCAGGGGTAACATAGCCCACCCTGCTAGCCCCAGCAGAGGACACTGTCTGGGGGCCTGAGGGTTCCCCATACAATGGTAGATGGGGGCATGGCTCACTGTCAGCATTTGTGGCTTTGGCCAGAGCCCCTTCCTCATTCACTCCTGAGAAGAGCCCTGCTGTCTTAAGGACCTCTGAGAGACAGGCCCGGGTACCATGGAGGAGTGGGGCACACAGCAGCGTAGGGTGAGTGCGGGAGGAGAGATCTTCTCTGGGGCACCATTCTGGAAGGACATGGAAAATGTCCCCAACCGGGTTTAAGCAGAAACCCGTCTTAGTGGGGGCAGGTTTGCTGCTAGCAGTGAGCCCAGCAGCCCACACCCCAGCCCTGCCAGGCCCCTAGGCTTCTCCTGGCCCTGTGCTCCCTCCCTCCTACTCTTATCTTCCCATCTCTGCCTTTATTCTTGGCTTCCACCCCTATGCCTGGTGATTAATCCCCAGGCCTGATGTGCATAATCGGTTTTGCTGGGGAAACAAGATTGTCTTGCCCTGGGGATGTTGATACAAATCTGCCTCCAGGGACAGGAATGCAAATGAGAGGAAGGGTTTAACTGCTGGAAGACCTGTCCTTCCCAGGCAACCATCCTTCCCTTTAGGAAACAAGGAGGCCAGATTTGGGGAGTAACTTGAGCCCCAGGTCCCTTCTGCCCTAACCTAGGGTTGGGTCAGCTGATGTAGTATGGGCTCATTGGCCAAGGAGGAGCAAGAGAGACCAGAGCAGGATTTAGCATCCTTCCCTCCTGTGTGGGGTAACCTGGACCAGGAAACCAGAGGTCCTCCATACTGGCTGCCCTGGGCTCTAGTGTCCAATGAGGAAACCCAAGAAGGGGCTCCTAAAGCAGCCCCTGGTATAGTCTTCAGTTAAGGGTCCAGAACTGCTCCTGACCACTGCCTGGCATCCCTGGGGCCAGTGACAGGCTCTGAAGAGCCCCTGCATCCATTTGGGTGGGAGACTTGCTTGAATGGGACACCAAGACCTGGAAGATGGCCTCACATGCAGATAAGTGGAGCCGGAGCCTCCTGGCCTGCCCTTGACTTCGGGAAAGAAGCTGAGGCAAGGTCCAGCAGGAGAAGAGTCTGTTCCGTATCTGACTCAGAGCTGACCGTTTGGTGCCCTGCACTGCCAGGGCACAAGGGTGGGCACCACACAGCGGCAGAGCCCAGCTGAGCTCCAGCATCAGGCTTACTCACCAACAGGAGAGGCCACACTTGAGAGCAGTCAGCTCTTGTCCCTGGAGGAAGTGGTCAGCATCCAACTGGTGGTGATGGTACAGATGACAATCTCGCTCAGTGAAAACAGTTTATAAGGTCAGCGTTCTGATGTGTGTCCAGTGCTTAGGACATTGCGTCCTGCCAACCGTCCCGTGAGCAGGCACAGATATTTTCCCCATTTTACAGATGAGCAAATGAAACTTGAAGTCCAAGGATTCACCCAGGTCAGATTGCTGGGCTGACTGCAGAGCTGGATTTCCCTTCCATGCACTACCCTGCCTCTCGCGGAGGAAGGATTGCTGCAATCACTTCCTTAATGTGTATCCGGAGCAATCTTTCTGCTAACTGTGCTCTGCAAATTCTGGAAAACAAAGCAGTGGGGAGAATGCAAATATTCCATTTTATAGCTGTGTTGGGTGGAAGTCATCCGGGGGAAATAAATGAGCCTCCACTTGGGAAGCCCAGCCTCGGCCTCCTCACCACAGGAGCATCTGCGGCAACGGCACAGCGGCAATCATATGCCCGAACGCGGGCTGGTCAGGATGTGCCTCTCATCAAAAACTTGCTGTGCCCACAAGGCAGGGCTGAGCCCCTCACTGTGGCCTCAGAACTCTGTGTTCTTGTGCCTGATGGCATCTTATTACCTCCCGCCACACCCATATGGGGCAGCACATGCCAACAAGCAGGGTGTGGTGGTTTCCAGTTGTCCCTCCTCAGGGCTCTCTCTCCTGCAGGGGTGAGCCCAAATGCTGTCTTCTTTAAGAAGCCTGTCCACATTACTCCCTCTCCTCTATCCTTTGTGATCGTCCACAAGACATCCCATTATACCTTGCCTTTAATCACTGTAAATAAACAATAAGACTGAGGTCAGAGCCTCCAGAACCTCGGTTGGTTCCAGAGACCTCAAGCCTTAGACTCTAGAACTTGACGCTGCTGGGCCCTCTTCCTTCCGAGCTGCTCAGCTATGCCCGTGGTGAGAAGTTCAGGAGCCATAGACCATAGCTGCTGATTTCAGACTAGAAGGAACTTCCTGGAAGTTTCACTAAAAAGTCCCAGGGAAGGATCCTGATTGGCTCAGCTCTGATCATCTTAAACCAATCACAGTGGGCAGCAGTTTATCCTGCCAGGATTGATGTGGCGAGCACCATATTTCTACTCGAGGGCACAGACATGGCACACACGGTAGGGAAGGAAGGAGATGATTATCGGCAGAAGAAAGGGAAGGGTGGTGGGCGGATAGAAAGCCTCCTCCACTACACCACCTCTGTCCCCAAGGAGGGCCTCGCCCACGGCATTCGCTTTCTTTTCCTTCTTTTCTTTCTTCCTCCCGCCCTCCCTCCTTCCCTCTTTCTTTGTTGCTTTCCTTTTTGAAAACTGTCAAATTTTAGATCACTGCTAGATCACAGATGTACTCACTATTTTTGTTCATCTAAGAAATTGGTGTACACACAGTGTTGCCTCGATTCTAAGTAATGTGTCCTCAGAGTGAGGCATTTGCCCCCCAGAACCCTCACACAGTTCTTCCATGCATTGACCCAGTACTGCTTCCTAACGCACAGCCCACCTTCAGACTTCTCCATTTGTTCCACCGGTCATCACTTACTGGACCCTGTCAATGTCCTTTATGGACATTTTGTTGTTATTTGATACAGGATCTGATCAAGGGCCACATAGTACTTCTAGATGTCATGCATCTTTACAGTCCTCTTCAGCTCTTCTCCCGGTGTGAATTTGTTTGTCCATCTGTCCCCTCCTGACTAGATGCACACTGAGTGCTTTTGGGAATAATATGACATCTGTGTGTGTGTGTTGCCTGCTTTGTATCAGAGGACACCTGGTATCAGTTTGCACCAGTGGAGATGTTAGGTTTGACTACTACCAGGTGTCTCCCTTCTCTCTCTCCCTCTCCCTCTCTCTCTCCTCTATCTCTGTCTCTCTCTGTCTCCCCTCCTTTCCCTTCCCACCTTCCCTCCTTCTCTCTTTCCCTCCCTCTCTTTGCTTGTGGGTATCAAGCCCAGAAAATTTGCATCAACCTTCATCTCCAGCAATCTTCTCTTTGAGATGGGGCTCACCAAGTTACTCAGACTAGGCTGGAACTCGGCATCCTCTGCCTTAGCTCTCAGGGTGCAGTACGGGGCTTCCAGGCCCGTGCCCCTGCTCATCTCCTTGCCTGGGTAGTTGACGAGTAACGGGTTATGTGTGACGTAACTATGCTCCTCCCCAGGAGTTCCCCATCCAGGGATGTAGAATCCGTGGGTGAATCTTAGCTGAACCAGCTCTTTCGTGACGCTTATGATATAGAGATTTTCCTTCCCTTCTCTTATTTATATTAGCTATCAAGGTTTTATAAAAAGTTTTATCATCTCACTCCTTTTGAAATAATTTAGTGTGAACTCATAGGCTTATTTTTACTCAAATACGTAGATATGTAAATAGATATTCAAATATATGTATTTTTACTCAGTATGTTTTAATTAATCCGTGTCATCTCATTTCGGTGCCCTTAATAACCCAGATTCAGCCAGGGGAGCGTCTTCAAGCTGGCTCACAGGTCCTTTCTGTGTGTGCTCCTTGCATCTTGAGCTATTTCTTGGTTTTGGCTGAACAAAATGTTCCCGGCTCACCTTTTAAATCAACGCACATGGAAATTGCATCAGGAAGCAGGCGGGCCAGCTTGACGCCCCCTGGCTCTCTGGCCGCTGCTGGATGCCGAGGACTTCCCACTCTCTTATACACCCCAGGCTTTGACTAAGGCGATGAGATCCGATTCTTGGGCAAGGAAATGGCTAAATTTACTCAGCCAGTCGAGAGGAAATAAGATTAGAAGTGCTGCCATAAATTTAACGGTGTTTTCCAGCCTGAGTCCAAAGGAGGATGTTCACACTTGAGGCCAGTCTCTTAGAGTATTTATTCCTGGCGGGATCTGTAATCACATGGATCTGGGTGTGTGTGTGTGTGTGTGTGTGTGTGTGTGTGTGTGTGTGTGTGTTAGAATCAGAGACCAAGAGACAGACAGAGAGAGAGAGAGAGAGAGAGAGAGAGAGAGGCAACCCTGTGTATCTAAGTACGGTCAAGCATTGCTTAATGTTGGAGAAATTCATCCTCAGGCACCTTTGTCATTGTGCAAATGTCCCAGAGCACACTGGCACACACCTAGGTGGTGTAGATAAATCAGGTGACCTGGCCTTTTAATGCCAGCAGGGGCTGAGGAGGTAGCTCAGCGGTCTAAGCACCTGTCTGGCAGACTCAAGGACACAGGTTCAGTCCCCAGTACCACATGCTGTGCCAGCCCCTGAAACTGGGGGGCGGGGGGTGCACACCTCTAATCCCAGTGCTGAGGAGGCTGAGACAAGTGGATCACTATGAGTCTGAGCTGCATCCAAGACCCTGTACCACATAAATAAATAAGATATTGGAGCCATGCTGAACACAAACTGTCTGAGGCCCCTGCCAGCATTAACAGGGTCTGCAACTATTAGTAGAATAACCCTAAAATTATAATGAAAGTACAGTATGATAGGCAGCACTCACATCGTCCCTTACCACCAAGCACCCTGTGGTGTGCAGAACTGTAGGTGCTATAATTTTATACAACTGGTGGCGCAGTACAGTGTTTACACCAACACCAACATCAGCACATGAGTAACGCATTGAGCTACGAAAT